TGTTCATGTTATTCTTCATGATGAGAAATAACCAAGCCTTTAGAAATCAGGCAAATTATTTGCAGCAAAGTATTTTTGAAACATCTTGTCCTTCATGGATTGAGAAATTTGCTGTAAAATGCCGCTTCCCTATAGTCACATTATTTGATGATTGTGGTCATTGTTATACTTTCCCATCATTGTGCACATACCACAGAGTGATCATGTAAACGTTTCTTGTCTAGAATCAGGCTCAAGGATATGACAACAGACACAAAACCGCTGGAGATATCGGAAATGTTTTCTGATGACTGCTTACGCCCCGGCCACAGCTGCTAGGGTGTGACAGCATGGAAGAGGCTGTGGTTTACTGTAAAGAACTGATAAAGGCCGGCCTTGCTCCTGACACACAGCCACCTGCTGGGATGAGACATAGGTTGTTCTGTGAAATTCAACAAGACATTTTCAACATCACTGTGTTTTGTCAATACATTTATTAAGATGTATATGAATGTATTATATTCATAGTGGACTAATTTTTAACCTTGGTTTAAATGTTATATTGTATGTAGCTTTTTATAAAGCTGTTTTATTATTTATTAAAAAGACAATCTATTATCATGCCTTTTATTTTTTAGGTAAAAGCTGCATTTTCTCTGGAAACACAACATGTCTCTAACATTGATTAATATACAGTTTTAACAATAAACATGGACATTTTTTGAGCGTCAATCTCGTAAACACCATCCTGTGCCGTCATACTCACTAGCGCAACAAATGTGTTAAATCAGCAGCTTGAAATAGGCCCCAACACATATCCTGTGCTCCTCTTTTTAAGAAACATTTGCAAAAAAATACAGTGCACAGCCATTTTTTTCCTTAAAAAATGAGATGGGATTTGTTGACAATATCAAAGATTCATAATATATCCAGCCTTCTCCTTTAGCGACTGTCAGTGTGCACTTCTTTTAAAAATAACTGAGTGTTTATATTCCCTGGTTTAATGAATTCACTCTAGTTTTTGACCCTGGAGCATCCAGCTTTGTATGTATATGATTCAGGAAGAGGGGTTTGGTTATAGAGGGGAAAGGTGATCATCAACAACAAGAAGAGCCCGGGTGTGTGAAAGATCAGTGCACCAGTGTTGTGTCTGACACATGAACCATGGAAATACCCGCTCTCCCACAGATCTTTCTTCTCTGTTTCTTATCTCCAGTGTGATATGCAACACTTTGAAGTGCGCTCGGGTATGATATGGGAGATAATTAAAAACTGACGACTGTTGTTTTTCATGTGGGGTCATGGGCAAAAGAAAGAATGTACATGCTGTTTCAAAGCGGAGTTGACATTGAATTCAAAAGAATCTTTAAAAAGGTATAACATGACTGTTTCGAAATGTATCCTTAATTGTCTAAGAGTGATGATGGCCAGGGCGTTCAGATTATGTTATCTCAAAGAGCAGAAGCCTCACTGTCACAAATGTCCAAATAGTGCTATGAGAAAGTAGCAAGGGAAGACAGAGGAATTATTGTTCTGCCTGACTTTTGATTTAAATAGTAACCATCTCCTAGAGGCTACAGGCAGATAGGAGGGCGATGATGAAACATTACAATACAGTACTGTTCGGTTGTTTGCCAGTTGTCATGCCTATGTAGAGAAGTTGTACCTTATTTATGCCACAGTCTGCACATCAAAATAACACCTTTATCTTTTTCACCGTCCTCTCCTATGTTATATCACATAATTTTTCTACATAAAATAGTTTTTTTCAAGTTAATCTTGTAAGGTGAAGCACCATTGCTCTCGTTTACAAAATAGGAGCTTTACAAATACTCTATCTTCAAATGCAGTAGTATGAATAATACAGATGTTTATTAAAGTGGAAGGTATTTTTTGTAGTTTCAGGTGCTCTGCCAGGTCATCTTTGTAGTTTATCATGTGTCTCTGGCAAGAACAAACCCATCTCAAATTCCCTCTTGCTCATAATGCTGTAGAAAGCTTGAGTCTTGTTGTATTTCTTGTTAAGGGTCAGAGGCAATATTGACCATTTTCCTTCCTCTGAACAGTGATGTTGTTTTAAACCCTGGCTAAACCAGAGATTGATCTCAAGAATGGGTGTATTTGGGGACTGCCATCCGTCATAGGGGCTGAAAGGGTTGTTTTCTCCTGGCCCCGTCACCTTTGATGAATCCCTGCTAAAGACTCCACTGGGGAAGGCACGGCTAGCATTTGCCTTGGCTCAGAGGCACGCATTTTATTGACTCTCTACAGATACTTTTAATTGTGCCACAACCTTTTGTACTTGCAGCACATTACTTTAGTTGGTGTTTGTTTGTAGTGGGTGGACAACGGAAGGTTTTTCCAAACTGTTTGGGGAGATATTAATTTTCTTTGCTACTATTTGGAAGTCTCTTTGTGGACATCCTCTGCATGTCTGGGTGTTCCTCAGGGATACGGGTCTGCCTTTGCGCTCGTTTATTTCCAAGTATAGAGTAAGTCAGAGAGCACTTTATCTTTTCTTTGACCACAAACCACCCAGATAAATCTGTGTTTCGCTTTTAGCAGCTTTTGTAAGGTTATGACCGTTGTGATGGATGTCATCAGATACACTTGGACTATACAATTGTCATATATTACTCTTTGCTAAAACTGGGGGATAAACTGGGGAAACTTGTAACATAGATGGTGCCTCATTGTAGTCGAAAAAAGGGTCTGCTGTTATGCTTCTTCTTTTAGGCCCATGTGTTGCTTCAGAGGAATCTACTCGACATGTTATCAAGCTGGTCTTGCTGCTACTTGTCAAAAGTTGCATTTTCACTATCCAATAACCTAACACTTAATCTCTGTTTACTCCTTCCAGTAACCCAACATGTAACTTAAAGAGCATTAAAGGAAAGCTCTGTAAACGTGTGCAATTTTAATTAATGCTACCTCAGCAGCTTGCTAGCTAATTTCATCACTCTCTCAGTGACTTCAGACTTCCCTCTCTGTTTTTCAATGTAATGTCCCTCCTCCCCCCACCTCTTCTTTTTAAGTTGAATCCGGGGTCACTGACATTCACTGGAATCCTAGACTAATATTCCAGATGGTGATGACAGGAACTGGCTTACGCTCTTCACCTTGCAGCATCATGTCCGTGGATTTTTAGTGCCATCCCAAAATTGAGTGTATAATAAAAGATGAAGTTACATTGTAAAACTCTCTTGTGGCTAATTTATCTCTGTCCATCATGTTGTGGTCTAAATGATCAAGGGGCTCATTCGTCACAAGTAAAGAACTCATGTGGATGGACTGACAGCTTGAGATTTAGGTTTGTTATTTTAATTTTCATTAAGTATAATGTCAAGCAATTGCAGATGCAAAATAAAACACTTTTATAAACACCATAGACATTTCCAACTGTCCAGTATTTAAAGATCTCTTATATGATGTTATTGTCTCATTTTACAATAAGCAATACAATATGCAATCACTTTAAAGACTTATAAGTTTGACTTTTACAATAATAATAAGAGTAAAAATAGTTTCACAGTTTTCATCTCATAAATGATTGTTATGCTACATATAATGAAGCAAGGTTCATTCTAAAAAAGCAAAAATAGTTAATAATTGTTGCCGTTTCAAGCCTTCAATGAAAAGGAGGAACCCGGCAGCTAATCTGACAAATATAATAATGTTTAAAGATCTACAGCAGCTGTACTGAATTTATGTTTTTATTCCAACTTACTGCATTCCTGTGTAGTTCCACATTGAGTTAAGCTTTTGTTGAGGTCAAAACCTCTATCTCTTAAGCGCTGACACACACACACACACACACACACACACACACACACACACACACACACACACACACACACACACACACACACACACACACACACACACACACACACACACACACACACACACACACACACACACACACACACACACACACACACACACACACACACACACACACAAACTCCCCCTCTCCTCGACCAATAAATAATTATCCCTTTGTGTGATGTGGCTTAGCTCCAAGGCCATGCAGTTTGTGCAAGTTGCTTTAACAGAAACAGTTCTATTCCCAAAATGGAAAAATGGATGCACTCAGAGCTCATTTTCTGCAGGTGTTGCTATTTTTACATTTTGAGTAATAATAAATACATCTTTGATTCTGTTTATTAGTTATTCAATACAGTCTTTTTTAAACAGCCATTTCCAGCCAATATATTAAACAACAAACTCTCCTGACTTTCGATACGTAAACAAGTAGAACACATATAGGTTAAAAGTCCAAATGCAACTTCACCAAAACAAATATGTTATATTCTGATGCTCGCATTGCCTCTTTAATTTATAATGTATATTTGTTAACTTATTTTGAACGTGAGGTGTATTTCATGTAACCAATGAGTCAGAAGAGTCAGAAATGATGATGAATCTCTGAGAACGGCCTATATCTATTTTAGTTTAGTTGTTTTTAAAATGACATTGATTTAAGTTTTAAATATTTTGTCGACACACACTGAACATTCAATATTTTTGAATTTTACAAAGCTCATCCATGAAAACAAAAAATTACAGTTTAATCTGCGCAAACATGGGCCTTGACACGAAATAGACTTACACTCTTGTTCTTACGAATACTCTCGTATCAGTTTTATGCTTAAAGTCAGTACAGTCTGATCTCTCTGCGAATTGAAAGTACTTATTGCCTGAGATCGCATGCTGTGGTTTTATTAAATGTGCCAAGTGCTAGGACTGTCTTAGGGAAGAAAGCTTTTAGATGTGCAGCTCCACTAACTTGGAACAGTCTGCAAAAAGAATGGAAAATTACCAAGCTAGTACCACTACATGTTTTTAAAGCTCGGTTGGATGCTACAAAATCAGATGCTGTTGGTACCTGTACATGTGGTTAAATATGTAAATTGTAATCCCTGTACATTTTGCTGTATGATGTCCTTTTGTTGTTTATGTAAATTATGTCTTCTTGTGGAACCTACTGCTGCAGGTCTCCCTTGAAAAAGAGATCATTGATCTCAATGGGATTTTACCTGGATAAATAAAGGTTTTGAATTGAATTGAATTGACAGTCATTCTGAGAAATGTATCAAATACTCTCCTTCTTGCAGACACTTATTCATACACACTAACATAAACATTTAATATGAGCAACACTTGAACTTGAACAAAGACGGAACAGCAACACTCGCTCATGCAAATGGGATGTTAGTCAGAGTCTACTCAGAAGTGCAGTCGCCGGGGGTAAGGCAAGGGAGTCATCTTCTCCTCAGCCTCCCTCGCTCCTCCCCCTGTCCAATGGGTTCTGCAGTATTAGAGCCTTCAGGAGAGTAAGGAAAGTCAGACATTATAGAGACAGAGGGACAAGGACTGCTGCCCTCTCAGACTCCCACTCCTAATACAGGGTGCTTGAAATTTGGTGTCCACATTTAGGTCATTAATTCATTTATGTTTCAGTTCATGACTTGTGTGAGGAAAGATGGCTGCTATAGTGCGTTGTGACCACTGATGTTTGTTTTTGCGGAATAGTTTGCTCCCTGCTTCTTTAGGTTGTTGTTTTTTTGTTTTTGTTAAACTTTTTTAGGAGACTTTGTAACTGTGAGACTCCCAGCTTGTGGAATACCAGCCCTTCTTTCTTTGGACTGTCTCAACCTGCTTTCTACAATGCTGACCGACCCGTGTGGAGCCATGTCGATGGGGTCAGATGTTCGGGATCTGACCCTCCTACCTCCAGTGCCTCCTGGGTCATCCTTACCGGGCGCTGGTGGCGGCTGTGGGATGTCTGTTGGGGGTGGTCAGTGGACCCAGCTGCTGGACCTCCACCCTGGCTCTCCCTACAGCTCCCTGCCCTCCCACCACTCCCTCATCAAGCAGGAACCAGGTTGGGGGACCGCTGATCCGATAGAGGACCCTCACTGTGGACTTGGGGCCTTCACATTGCACTTCTCAGGCCAGTTTACAGGCTCGGGCCCCTGTCGAGTTGGGGCCTTCGGAGAGCCAACTGGAGGTCAAGCGAGGATGTTTCCTAATGGTACCTACCTGCCCGGCTGCATGGACAGTCCTCCTACACACAGGAACCAGGGTAAGCGTGCACATCCAGTAATACAAGTTTTCTTATTATCTTAATGTTAAATATTAGTCACGACAAATGAAGAGCACACACTTATCAATACATCTAGACTTTATTACTGTTTATTTCGATTTTTACTTTGTTATTGCCTATTTCCTGCTGTGTATGTGGATGATATCACTCCATGTTATGAGTTGTCAACAGTTTGTGTCTGAGCAGGATGTTTTGTGCTGTACTGGGTCATTCTGTCCCGTGTCAGAAAAAAGCTTGACAGCTTTCTGGTAATGCTCTGGCAGACATCTAGAAACAGTTCCTTTGCAATGGGCTTTTGAGCAGAGATGCTGATTTTCAGTCATCGTCACAACAACCTGTAAGGGTACATGCTTATTAGTAGGTAGATTATTAATAAGGTTTCAACAGTTTTTTTTTTTTTACTGTATTAAAAGCCCATACATTCCAAATGGTAACTATATCTTAATCTTTTTTTTTTTATGCTGAGCCACACACAAACTCCCTTGCCGTTTTAAAAGTCATGCACATAATTATGTTTAACTAACAACAGGTTTTTGAAAGTGTTATGGGACAGCAGAATGAATATAAAAATATCACTAGCATTGGGTCAAAGCAACCCGAGCTAATGGTTATCCAATATTGGATTAATTCCAACCAATTTAATGAATACACATATAGACATTTAATTTTGTTTAAAGATAGTGACGGGTTGAGCGGCCACAGTGAATGTTGCAGTTCATACACACTGTTCAGAAGAAGCTTAGATCATCCAGTCAATTCAAATTGGCCAAAGACCAAGACCAAGAACACAAAGATACTGAATGTGCTCATTAGCTCAGAATGAATTATGTTCAGGTTTTGCATTTTTGAGTTTATTGGCCTGTGGTAATTTTAAAATGACATGGAGTTTTAAAAGTGAGTACATCATCTTCAAAATAAATCCTCTGACCACAATTGCTTGGTTTAACAAAACAACTTTTTATGCTATTAAAAATATATAGAAAAACTCTGAAGTGATACACATTGAATCAATAGCTTTATTTACTACGATTTGTTTTTAAATCCCAGCAAATCTGCACAAAACACATGGTAAAAAATCAAAACTTTCATATTTTCATTTCATTTCAAACCTTTATTTATCCAGGTGTATCCCTTGAGATCATTGATCTCTTTTTCAAGGGAGACCTGCTCATATATTTGGAATCTTAATCCGGCACCAAACTTAATTTTAGTTTCCTGTCAAATCTTAACATTGTGATATCTCTTCCTTCTCTGTAAACACTGCTGATATGACTTTCAATCACTATGTAGCAAGTCCTGTAGTAATAATAAACGCTAAGTGTAGTGCTATGCAGACTGCTGGGATTTAAGTAAGAATTTGTGAGTCATTTTTACTCAGAAATCTTTCAATAACCCACTCGGGGCTAACTCAGGAAAAATAGAGGTTGCACTCATGTTGTGCTTGAATGATCCCTTTCACATAGCTTTCCTCAAATGCAACATTTTCTAAAATGTATTACACTTTAATAATTGCAATCATAAACATGATGTTAGTTAATGTTACCATGCGTGTCCCTTATAGCTGTAATTAAATGAGCATACGTTCAACCTTGTTTTTCTACCAAGAATATTCTACAGTAGCTCATCTCAGTCCGCCTGTGGTGTGTTTGCCAAATGTATTTTTCCACCTGCCATAAATAATGAAACCACAAGGCCAAAGATAAATGGGAGGAAAGAGAGAATGTGTTACAAGAAAAAAGGATTTGATAGTTTGATAAATGTGTCTCTGTGTTGACCCTGCAAGGGACTATGAGCTACTACCAGGGGATTCAGATAACTGACCAGATACTGCAGACCCTGCATGTTTTATTTGCAAGATGATAATCTAAGTGAATAAGATCATTTTAACTTTCCATGGCTTCTCTTTGTGTTTTCTCTTTTTTAGGTTATGGCGCAGTGGGTTTAGACAGCAACCCCAGTTATGGTCACACTCCCTCTCATCACAGCCCTCAGCTCTCCAGCCTGTCCTTCAAACATGAGGACACTCTGTCACCGCAAAACAACATAGGTAACTGTCTGCGTCCTGACGCCTTTTCTCAGAATTGACTCGCAGACTGGAAGACTGTCATGTCACAGCAAGGTTATATAAGTAACCCGCCATTTTTCACATCAAAACAGAAACGCTATTATCCATTTTTCCTTCATCTCTCTCCGTCTCTGTCGGCACACACATTCATACACGCAGGCATACATAAACACAGCCTCCTCTCGCTCTTTAAGCATACGTATGGTTAATGACTCTGGAAATGATAACTTGAGGAAACAGCTTTATGTGACTCTGCTGGAATGTCAAAAACTGTCTGGGGACTAATATACTATGTACCTGTACCACTGTTTCTGATTGACCGGGTCTCTCTTTGAAAATAATTGCATACATGCATGCATGTGTTTTTTTATATTCATTTTAATAGTATATTTTAGCTCCAGCTCAAAAGATATAGATGATAAGCTGCTGAATGACAATAGAAACTTAAACAACTAGAAACATGTGAAGTTGAATTCATAGGTCGATCACAAGACAATTATTCATTCATTTTTTATTTGACCAAGTGTAAATATGTGCCAGTTTTGTTATTGTTCTGTGATAAGTAAATAAGAATATTTGTGTGAGTTTAGCTTGAAAAAACCAACAAGCATTTTAATTATTTCAGCTTACTTTAAGTGACGTTAAATCAATTTGTTGATAGGTTGATCACAAGATAATCAGTTATCCTCAATTGTAATAATGGTTTATCAATGTTTTATTTGTACCAAAAGTGTGTATACTTGCATGTTTCCTCAGTCTTCTATGATAGGTTAAGTATCTTTGTGTGAGCGAAGCTTGAATAAAACAAGCATCTGGTGAACATACTTTTTAAAGACCAAACTATTCATAAATTATGGAAAAAATAAGCAACTTTTATATTTTCATTTACTTTTCAGTTGACCAGCAGTACCCAGCTCCTCCTCCCATGTTTGGCTGCCACAATCCTTCAGAATCGTGTCCGAGCAGCCAAGCTCTGCTGCTGAGAAACTACAGCAGGTAATCATTTGTCCCTACAGCCGCTTATTGTTCCTGTATTTGACTCCTGCTACTTTGAATCCTCCATTGGCACAATTCGGCCTTCCCAAGCGCTTTTAGACTCCTCACTCGTCAGCTAATGTCAGATTCTTTCCACCAACACCACATGCAGCTCGCCCACTTGCTAGTAAGTGTGAACTCTCTCTGATCCTACGTTAAGCCCTGCGTCTGCCTCTCCACGGCCTGGATCCTCAATCCTAATTTGTTCTGAGGTTAAGTGCTGCCCACTGGTGCTCAGCAGGCCAAAACAAACACTGAGTGATCTACTGCTCATGTGTCTGAGTCCACCCTGAGGAAAAATGAGGGGAAAAGTAAAAGAGACAAGTTCAGTGAAAGTGAAAGTGAGGTGGGGGATGTTGGGTTGTTAAAGCTGGGAATCGTCTCATTTTAACCTCTGAATATTTTACCAACGTGCTTTCAATTTGATGCAAAACATTTGAAGGGGTAAATAAGGGTAAAATACCTTGAATACCACCCTGCGATGTTGTTGGAGAAAAGGAACATGTGCAACCCAAATACTGGAACAGAAGTTGATAAGAGGAAGGAAGCTGTTGTTAGAGCAAGAGCTGGAAACCCTCAAACAAACACGGAGACATCCACAAGCACATGCACATGCACACGCTCTCACACACACACCATGAATATATGTCAGATACCAGTGAGTCTTTCCACAGTGTAACATAGCTCAGAGCTGATTAGAAGCCATCTCAATCCTTCCCTCAAGGACTTCTCAAGGAATGCCGTCCAGAATTCCCCCGAAACTGGTTCCCCGCCTTTTAATGATACTGAGGACAGAGTGATGTCACGCACTGGTCCACGGTGTACTAGGCACGGAGGCACTCACCCCCGCAGAGTGCACAACTGCATCTCCAATTGTGTGTGTGTGTGTGTGTGTGTGTGTGTGTGTGTGTGTGTGTGTGTGTGTGTGTGTGTGTGTGTGTGTGTGTGTGTGCATGTGTGCATGTGTGCATGTGTGTGTGTGCATGTGTGTGTGTGTGTGTGTGTGTGTGTGTGCAATAGTGTGATCTGCCAAGGTAAAGATTGGCTCAGAGCCCATGTTTTTTAATGAAGCCAGTGAGGAGTGTGCTGGGTGGACAGGATGTGTTAATAAGTGAGCCATTTGAAGTTCCCCCAGTATTATCCATACAAGGGAAGAGAAATGACAGGAAGAATGCAGAGTAACATAAATATTGTCAGTTTTATAGAGAAAAAAATGAATAAATGTTCAGTTATTTTCCCTTCATCTGTCCCACCCTCAAAACTAACCTCCATAACATTTTGAATTATTGAAGTATAACATTTTGTTCACCAATCAACAAAAACCTAAAATGTTTTACGAAAATTGCCCAAAGCTAATAACTGTGATGTATGTTTTCCTCAGTGATAACCTGTACCAAATGGCATCTCAGCTGGATTGTGTAACCTGGAACCAAATGAACAACCTGGCAACTTCGATGAAAAGGCGAGTCTTTATGTTTTTATTTAAATAACATCATGTATACTTCATTGTTGACCAGTGTTTGTGGTGGAGCAGCAGAGGAGGAACTAGATGAGGATTTGAACAGATGGCTGTTGGCCTACTGCCTAAGGAAATTAGGAAGTGGGGATGTGTGTGTGTGTGTGTGTGTGGTGTGTGTGTGTGTGTGTGTGTGTGTGTGTGTGTGTGTGTGTGTGTGTGTGTGTGTGTGTGTGTGTGTGTGTGTGTGTGTGTGTGTGTGTGTGTGTGTGTGTGTGTGTGTGTGTGTGTGTGTGTGTGTGTGTGTGTGTCTTGTTTAGGATAGCTATTTTATTGTGATTTTTTAAGTGTGTGTGACACGATTGCCACAAGACCTCGGCATTTTTAAGGTTTTAACACTTTAAGGTGTTTCCCTTAACTTTCTTTATTTGGACTAGATGCACCGTCCTGACCAATTGATGAATTTATTTCATTTGCTAAATCTCTCAGTTTTGCACTCAAACTGTTTAGGTTTTACTCAATTTGTTTTATTTTGCTTCTGTCCAGCAGTGCCCATGCACCCAGCTATGACAGTGACCCCACAGCCCCACCCCCCACCCATGCTCATGAGTGCCCAGTATCACATACACACACATGGTGTCTTCAGAGGACTTCAGGTCAGTCAGAGTTACACACATGCAGGCTCAAAACAACACACAGCCTTACAGTAAATACATACACAAAGTGCACTTCTGGACTACTAAGCCTTCTGACTTCTCTTTCTTAAAGGATGTTCGGCGCGTAGCTGGCATTGCTCCTCCCACTGTGAGGTCATCTGAAGCCAGTGAAAAGCGTCCATTTGTTTGTGCTTATCCTGGCTGCAGCAAGAGATACTTCAAACTGTCACATCTGCAGATGCACGGCCGCAAACACACAGGTGAGAGGATTTCATTTAAACTGCTGCTAAATGAAATTGAGAAATTCATACAAACTTAAGAAATGATATGGTTGTTGGTATGATGCCCAGGTGTGAATGTGTATTGCTGTGTAAAAAGTAAATTGATAAAGCTGTGGATATGGATGGTTTGTTTTGCAGGAGAGAAGCCTTACCAGTGTGACTTCACAGACTGCGGCCGCAGATTCTCTCGCTCAGACCAGTTGAAGAGGCACCAGCGCAGACACACAGGTACACCGGCGTAAAGCTACTGTATGAGTTAGGGTGTGACATCCCTCCAGGGCCTTGGCTGCCTCTGAGGACACTGACGTCATGAACTCAGTTCCCTTTTCTGGGAATTAAAAAAAATTATCGATCCTAGGGGAACTGTCCATTCCAAAACATAACAAAATAAACCCACTGTTGGTACTCCACTGGGAGATTCAATTGTTTTTGGACCCAGTATATTTTACCTTGTCTATAAGGCCAATAAATATATGAATAAATAAGTAGGATTTGGTATGTTTCTATCTGTTCCTGTCACTGAGAAGAAGGCCAAAAAACAGGCTTTGGGTTTTAAATAGACAAGATAATGTATATGACAAATCCAAATAATCTAAATATTTTTTTATGTCAGATCAAAAATGATAAAACAAGCAGTTATAACCAACTTAACTTTATTTCAAACACATACTAGCTTCATATCAGTATTAAACTATGACAACATATAATTAAACAAGAACATTGTAAACCATGTTGCTTTAACTAATTTGATATATAAATAATATGAATACATACGTAAAACATGCTGAGATTGTAAAATCGGCCGGAATGGTTTCAATTTGTAATGCTTACAACCTCTACATTGATTGCTCCATCTTATAACCTTTGACCCCTGCTCTGCTTTCTTCTCATTTCTATCTCTGTCAATACAACACTTGTTTGCACACCTGTGTAGGAGTGAAGCCCTTTCAGTGCGAGACGTGTCAGAGAAAGTTTTCACGGTCAGATCATCTTAAGACGCACACTCGGACTCATACAGGTAAAACAAGTGCGTATACCTTTATTTCCTACCGCTCCATTCTGAGACTATTCAAATACATTATAACACAAGTTTGCATTTCTATAGTTGTAGTAACTTTATCTTGTTTTTTTTCTTGTTTGTCAGGTGAGAAGCCATTTACCTGCCGCTGGTCCAGCTGCGAGAAGAAGTTTGCCCGTTCTGATGAGCTGGTGCGCCACCACAGCATGCACCAGAGGAACCTGACCAAGCTGCAGCCTGCCATCTGAGCAGCGAGAGGAGGAGGAGGATGAGGAGGATGAGGAAGCTGACAATATGTTGTGCCAGGCAGCCAGTGGTGAAAGCCGCAGGAGCCTGGTCAGCATGGTGCCTTGCCAGAATGTGGTGAGCCCAGCTGATGCCTCCCTCTGCCAGCCGACATAAAGAGACTCGTAATCCTCGAGAACTTCAGGATGCACCTCAACTAGCACTCGTTCGGGTTATTTGACACAAAAACTCAGACTGAGAGGGTACAACCACAGTTATTCTGAGCCAAGAAGAATATTTTTTTTATGAGATGAGGAAAATGTTGATACACTATTTTAGTAAACTTGCACTGGCTTTTTTTTAATGCATTTTTTGTATTGTGTCACCTTGTAAACTGAATTACGAAATGGGCAATGTGTCCATTCATTTGAGATTTTTTGCTTTGAGTAATGTGAACATCTTGATATTCTTACAGTTTAATTTCTCACAAAATTGCTCTATGTGGTGTATTTGCTTACTTTTATAGGCATTCCTTTTTGTAATTTCTATGTTTTCAAGTTTATAAAACTTTGATTCACATGGTTGTCAAGAGTCAAGAGTGTGTGTGTGTGTGTGTGTGTGTGTGTGTGTGTGTGTGTGTGTGTGTGTGTGTGTGTGTGTCTGTGTGTGTGTGTGTGAGAGAGAGACAAAAGAGGTGTTGGTGTTGTCAGGTTAAGAGGCCACCTATGAGTAGTGGTGGCGGGGGATGAGGGGGTGACTGACAGTAAAACAGCACCCCACTGTGACTCTGACAGGGTGCAGATCTCTCCCTCCTTAATCTCTAACACACATCTTCATAACTAGAAACATCTGGAGTTGAGTAAATCTCATTGGAAAAGACACATACCTCTGTGTCAGCTGGCTGTACCCCACTGACTGCCCCTTTCTGCATATAGGCAGGGCCTCAACATGCACACACACACAAAAGCAGACTCACTCAGGTCCCCATAGAAAGCCTAAATTGTATTTTACATCATCGAGCCACATGATGGCAGTATTAGCCTTTACAGTCGAGCAGATGCGACTTGAGCTGAGCCCTGGAGTGTGACTGAACCGATGCTTATAATTTGTACATTTCCGTCTTCATATGGTACATGTCCACTAAAGTTTCGCCCTGAATAGCCACGATAAATATGTTAAAATCATCGAAAGTGAGAAAGAGGGATGCCCGTTCAGAGCATGCCCTGGCCCATCACATATACATGATGTGGATGGAGTTGTGTGTCAAGTCTATAAGAGATGATTCAGCTACAGCAGGTATGTAAATAAAATATGACTCAATGTGGGAAGAATAGAGCGGTTGCGTGGCTCTGTGGGCTAATGATGTCACATACCTGAAAAAGCAATGTAAACACGCACATGGTATATTTAGCTGTACGCTACATGTTCACACATGGAAACCACAGCTCTCATTCACTTAAGACTTTCACACAGAACCAGAAACACACTTACAGTATACACACACACACACACACACACACACACACACACACACACACACACACACACACACACACACACACACACACACACACACACCACACACACACACACACACACACACACACACACACACACACACCACACACACACACACACACACACACACACACACACACACACACACACTCACATCTGCTCCTGCACTGCTGCTCTCATTTCCTCAGTAGATCCTGAGATTTGCCAAACTAACAGAAAGATTAAAATGCCGTTCTCCTGTTTAAGGGTCACCGACTGCTCATTTGAAGTGGTGATCAGGTTGTTTTCCAATCCACTAAATGACTGTGAGCTAGTATCTCTGTGATGTTCTGCTTTTTTCTGATTCTTAATCCAATACACTTTGATTAAGAAGTGCTTCTCTTTGTTCTATCTCCACAGGGGCACCAGGAAGCGGAGGAAGATCAGAGGAGCAGCAGAGTTGAACATTTGACTCACTCCAGTTCACTCTTAACTGGAGACGGCCAAGGCTGTGTGCAGCGTGAGGAACCCATGCTTTAAATGTCCTCCATTAATACTGCCATCATTATCTCACACATTCAAAGAGACACTGACCTAAACCCTTGATTGATCTATGGGGTCAACATTCCTTCAAAATGTTCGTTGTTGAAAGTGTAAGGAAATATCTGATAACACCACAATGTATGGGCTCAGTCTCGTTCTGCCAAACGTTACCGCCAATCTGAATGCATGAACACACACATATACACGCACACAAACTCACATGCACACACGCCACCAGATGCCCCCTCAGCTGTACTGCTGGCTGTTTGCCTTTAAGGGGTGTCAGCGTGGGTAATCTCAGGTGACGTACACCTGGTAACACACAGCCCAAGACATCTGTAGGACAGCAGGCCTGCTATAGCTTCACAGCCTCCATCTCCACATGCAACCCTCCAAAAAGGTTTCTTTTTGAATGCAAGTGTGATTTAACCTCACTGTCACATTTAAAAAGCCATGAAACAAGAACAGTTGACTCCATACATCCAAGTTTCCACCTTCACTTTCTATGCACTAATGAGTCTTTTAATTAATGTAGTCTTATTTGTTAATATGACATTCTGAGAAGTCCCAGGTGCATACAACATCACTATGAATCCGGCTGTGTTTCTTTGGGCCAAAAATATATTATTTAACCTCAGGGTGCCGTAAAGGTCAATGCACATGTAGCACACAGAGGCCTCTATGAGCCCCGAGGGATTGTTAACAAGGTCAAGGCCCCAGGGAGGGGGTTACAGGGAGGCCTGCATGCAAAAACAATGCTACACCAACAGGAGGCGCTGTCGGGGAATGTTCAAATGTTAAGTGAAGCATGTACTTAGTTGTATTCCCAGACAGCGCCCCCCCCCCCCCCCCCCCCCCCCTCAGGCTGGCTCTCTTGTGCAGAGCTGCTGCTCCACAGTCTGAGGGGCCTAGGGGTTCTTGGGGGTATTCCCTGTGGTAAAGCGGGGAGCCTGAGGGGCTCCGGTGTGTAGGAGCTTTGGGAATGCAGAGGCCTTGGGGGCCTGGAGCTCAGATGGGGCCTAGAGGGTAAACTTTCTCACTCAGGGAGCAGAGATGGAGCAAATACAAAAAGACAGCGAGAGGAAAACACCTTAAGAGGAGTCTGTCAGATATGCAGGCAGCAGCCGGGAAGATCCCATGAGGGAACACAGAAACACAAACACACACATGGATGTATACTCCAACCCAAAACCAATATGTGGGCCAGCAAATAGAGGCAGAGCTTTTTAAATATTCTCTCTCTCCTCAACCATCAGGTCTTTCATCTTGTCTTCTTTCCTCCCTCCCGCTGTCTCCTCTATTCCGCTGGAAGATATTAGCGCCTAACAGGATTAGATGTGTCTCTATCATGTGAGACACAAGATCACAAACCTACCCAAACCCCCTGGGGAACATCGTAACGGGAGGGATGAAACAAGGCCTCGTCTACCCTCTCCTCCCCTCCATCCCAAAGGTATCCAGATGCTGGGACATGGAGAGAGGACCAGAGAAACGAAAGAGACAAATGTTGACAAATGGAGCGAGAGAGGCGTTTTGTCCAAAGATATCAGTCTCACTGGGATAGCGTTTTCTCCACTCTCAATGTCATGAACTCCAAAATCAACTCTACTCTGGGCAGTTTTGCTCATCTTTTAATTAAAACTTGTAAAAGCTTCTTTCTTCATATATCATTGTAAGATACGCAGCAGACTGTCAGACTGATTGGGCAACCAAAGCAGCGAAGTAGCTGTGCAAAAGCTGTTTGAAACTGATTTTGAGCCATCCTGACCTCAGTCCAAAGAGCTCCCATTACTCCAGAGGCAGTTACAATTAGTTACCAACTCACTAGGTTTATGCTTCCTAAATTGAAATGTATCGCTCTTTAAAGCCTCCTCTCTAATTGTGTAGTCATTAATGGCCGATTCCCTATCTACACTGCGTTGATGGGTACATAAAAACTCATGATGATAGACGAGCAGAAGTGCAGTTGTTAAAAAGAGAGGAGATTGTCTCTTGTTCTGTGTCATCACCACTAGGAGGAGTAGAGTCTTGTGATGGGAGAGGGGAGGGATGAGCACTTTCTCTGGGATGACATGAAAGATTGATGGATTCGTTCAAGCTTCATTGTCCAGAAGTAGAAACATGTGAGGCGCCAAATTAGCCTACATTCATATGACACACGCACATACAATCACATAACTTGCACAAACACAGAAGGAACGGCCTGTGCAGCATCAGGGCTGTCGCCAGCATTTTAGAAAAGCTGAGGTCATAGGTCAAAGTTAACCAAACTCAGCCCCTACACCACAAACAAGAGTAAATTACATGATTTATCTGTTCAATTATATTTTCAATACATTTTAAGGATGGTCTAAATGTACACTGCCAGAACACAATTCTGGTTAAAAATACCCAAAACTATTTTGAATACTTTATTTATTGCCCTTATTTAGTCAAATTCAAATACAATAACTTTGATTTAAGAAAGATTATGTTTTCTTGTGTGTGAAAAATATTTGAGAGGATATGGGAAATATATCTATATTATAGGGATATTGTGTTATGAGACTATTATGTCATCTTAGATTTTGGATATCATTTCGTAATTGTCGTAATTTTCTGCCTTAGAGTAAAATTACTCAACTATTTTATTTACCAGACTGTTCTCGCTGTTCTTTTATTTTCCTTTATCTTCACTCTTCTGAATAAATCATTTTAAGAGGGTACATGAGACAAATTGCATCGTAATGTAAAAAGTTAGGTCTGACAGCACTCTTTCACCACTGCTACAGTATTTTAAATGTTTTATGTTGACTAGGTGCTGGAGGAATCATCCTATAAGGTACTTTCCATGTGCACATTTTAAACTATACAGTATATAGAATCCTCCCTTTAAGTTGGTAAAACTATCATATTAACAAAGAAATTACAATTTAAATGTTGCATAGTGCACTAAGAGTTTGTAACTCTTATTAAAAAACATTTTTATAATAACAATGTTGTGTTACAATGTTAAATTGTACAAACCTACCATGAAAAAGGATTCGTGTATTTGACTCATTCAGTTTAGTGATAAAACTAAGACAAAGGGACAGCCTATCCCGAGCTGTCAACTAACCATGTAAAGTCACCATTTAGCTTGGTAAATATCAAATATTTTATCTAAGTAGCTGGATAACAAACGGACATTGTATTGTTTTTTTTGTTGTTGCCATTATGCCTGTTATTATATAATGGGCAGAAATCCTGTTATGGAAGCCTCAGCACAGGATGGGTCAGATGTCCCAAAGACCATTACAAACAACACAGTGGGCTACAAATCCCCAGGGTACAAAGAACAAACACAACAGATAAAAGACAAAGATCAAGAAGAGGCGGATATATATTCCGATGAAAAATAGGGCATCATGATGATAAGAGTCCGGGAGGAGCAGGGGAGTTGTGGGGGGATGCACTGCAGTTTGTTATGAAGGCAGTTTAATTGTAGTAGTCATTCTGGCATTGCTGCTGTTAATTGCTGATATGGAAATGGCAGTGTATGAAAAAAGCTCTTTAACAGG